TTATGCATAGAATGTACAACTATCCTGCTCATCAAGTGACAAAATATCATGCAATGCTTGGTTATTAATTTCATGCATGGTTCCACAAAGCATGTCTTTTTCTATCACACCACACTTTTCCTTGACAATAGGCTAAGTGTCATGCAACAACTTGTAATCAATTGGAATAGGATTTTCATGCATTGATTCAAAAGGTGTTTCAATTTCAATCACATTATCTTTCTTTTCAACATTAGGCATACAATCACGTAATAGTTTGCAATCTAATGAAATAGGATTAACATGCATGTCATCACAAAGTGTTCTATTTTCAGTCTCGTTACTTTCTTCCCCAACAATAGATATAAGTTTATGCAATACTTTGCTATCACTAGTAGAAGGTATTTCATACATAGTTCCACAAAATATTTCCTGCTCTTTATTTTCTACAATTTGGACTAAAGTAGGTACGATGACCTTTCCAAATTTTGGAAGTACATGAGGAATAGGTTTAAGGTCAACATATCTCGAGGATTCTCGTTAATCTCTTCTCTCAATTCTTTTGGCGAGGTTCAACATTTCTTCCAACCTAGTACAGGGATGAATTTCTTCTCTTTCCGCAATCACCTTGGCAATATCTCCATTGAGTCTATTGTAGAACCGATCCATGGTGGTGTCCTCATCTTCATAAACATTAAGCTCCTCAAGCAACGAGCACATCTCATCGTAGTAGGCTTCAACACTTCTGTCCTTTTGGCTCAAGTTTTTTAACTTAGGAATAAACTGTCTTCTCATTATAGGCTCGAGTTCTCTCCATGATGTGATTCGATCATCTCGTTTCCTTTTTCTACTAAAAAATAAAGCATTCCACTATGTTTTAGCATAATCTTTAAAACAAGTGATAATAAGATTTACCTCGATGCTTTCACTCCAACCGTGGTGTTTTGCAAAGATGCTCTCAACTTGCTCCTCCCAATGAAGATACTCTGGTGGCTTGGTGCTTCCATGGAACTTAGGAAGTTTAGGGGTTGAGCTTCCAAGGTAGCCACTAATATGGTGATCTTTCTTCCTTTGATGAACTACATTAAGAACGTGCTTACTATAATACTCACATCGTGGATTCATTCCTTCTTGAAATTTATGAGACCACCTTCGTGGTTCCATTGCTACACAAAACAAAATTAGTAATAACAAGAAATATTTTTCTCTTCGCTCCGTCACTTAATGTCCTCTTGGTTCTCTCTTTTTTTGTGGGTAAGACTTGATGTGGTGTGAATATTCTTATCTTGAAATGCAAGCTTGATTGCTCGTGGCGAATCAACACTCGAGTATAACAAGCAAGCTCTAAGGTAATCAAGATACAAATGATACCCAATGATAGAATACCAAATGATATGTGATGTGACAAATGATATGAATGATACCAAATGATAAGTAAGGCAAAAATTATGTGAGATATCAAATGATACGTGTGACGATGAAATAAAAAACCTTGAGCCTAATGCTCTTAGTGACTAAAAGAAAGAACTAAGAATAAAGACTATCCTTCAAGCCTAATGCTATCGGGTATAAGGACTAACTACAATATGCAAATTGATGTTAAGCAAACAAAGAAAATAATATAAGCAAGAAAAGTAAGAGAAAACACTCTAAACTAGGGGTCCACATGTTGCCTGTAGGGGTATGTTTGGGGTCCACACGTGGAACTAGGTGCGTATGAGTAAGTTATGTAAGCACGTCAAATTTCAAGCCAATCGGAGTTCACACGTAGCGTGTAGGCCACTGAGTGACTCCTCGCCACTTTGCATGTCTACTCCCGCCACACCAAAAATGCCTTAGAAGTACTATGGGGGGACCAAGTAGTCATCAAACCTCCCCCGATCTGTATACTTTCTTGCAATCAAGTTTTCTTGCATCAAATGTCTACAATGTTTGTTTTAAAGAAGTTTTCAACTGTTTTCTCTCATGTTTTCTAAAACAAATTTTCATGTAAAACGTGGACAGTGGCCACCATTGACTGAGATTGTCCGCGACTTATGATTTTCTCGACTGACTTGCTTGTTTGAGCTAAAGTAAGTACCGCACAATCGCTTGGCCCGTTCGAAAGAAGTGCGATTGTGACAAGTGGTATCAGAGCTTAGTTAGCTCCTCGACCCAATAAAGATCTGAACCATGTCGGCGACAAAGCAATTGAGCAAGTTGCATGTCGATCGACTAGTTGAAATTGAAAAACAACTGTTGTATTTGAGGGAAGTCCCCGATACCATTCGTCTGCTGGAGACGCGAGTTGATGAGTTCTCTGACAAGGTTGGAGAAATAGATGCTGTGAACGCCCGAGTAGGTGGGCTCCCAATTCAAGAACTAGCTGCAGGGGTTGAGGTCCTAGAAAGTAAAGCTACGTGTCCTAGTAGTTTCGAACATGGAGATAGCTCCGCAAACCCAACCACCCAAATGGAAGTGCGCATGGATGAGTTAAACCATTTGCAGTCAGCAATGATGCAACTATTTATGAAATGACTGAGGACTTCAAAGTGACTATAGAAACTCTCATAGCTGAAATGATAGAAATCAGTACAAGAGTTAATCTGACCATGCATGCCGTGGGAATTCAGGTTTTCAACCAAGCACCATGAGGTTCAACAAGTTTAAAGTCTCGGAGGTCAAACCTTCAACGACAATCGAGATGTGAAGGATCTCGAGAACTTCATGTTTGATGTTGAACAATACTTCAAGGCTACCGGGACAACATCAGGAGAAATGAAAGTGACCTTGGCTACTGTGCATCTTATTGATGATGAAAAGCTGTGGTGGAGATCCAAGGTCAACGATATCCAGAATGGTCTATAAACGTTAAATACATGGGATGATCTCAAGAAAGAGCTGAGAGCTCAGTTCTTCCTCGAAAATGTCGAGTTCATCGCTATAAGGGGAACCATTCGGGATTATGTGAAGCAGTTCTCTACTGTGATGCTTGATATTCGTGATATGTCAGAGAAAGACAAAGTATTCATCTTTGTTGAAGGACTAAAACCATAGGCCATAACAAAGTTATACGAACAGAAGGTGCAGGAACTCGCCATTGCTATGGCCGCTGCGGAACGACTGCTAGATTATAGCGGCGAGTCATCTCAATTGAAGAAAAACGCTCCAAACCTCACTAGAGAAAAAAAGACGTTCAATACTCCAAAGAGTGGGGGAGTCGACAAGAGACCACAGAGCTCAAATGCCGGTCCCTCTCGAGGGCCGTATCCACCGAACCCCAATGTTGAGAGGCCAATTTCATGTTTCCTATGCAAGGGCCCTCACCAGGTAGCTGAATGTCCACATCGAGCTGCCCTTATTACCCTTAAAGCATCTGTTTTGTCATGTAACGAGCCACAAACCGAGACTGAGTGCGAGAAGGAAAAAGATGGAGGAACACCCAGAATGGAGGTGTTGAAATTTCTCTATGCTATCCAAAAAGAATGTCAATGGACCTAAAGGAATGCCTGAGAAAGGGCTTATGTTTGTAGATGCTACGATCAACTCCAAACCTGCTAAGACCATGGTTGACTCAGGTGCAACTCGTGACTTCATATCCGAGCAGGAACTCCACTGACTAGAATTGACTATTGAGAAAGACATCGGCAAGATAAAGGCCGTCAATTCCGAAGTTTTACCTATTGTGGGGGTTTCCAAGAAAGTGTCCTTGAAATTAGGGACGTGGACAAGGAGTGTTGATTTGGTAGTGGACCGCATTTGGGGATGGAATTCCTTATTGAACACAGTCATACCGATGCCCTTGCCCGAGTACATGATTGTCACAAGCAGCAACCTCACCGTGGTTATAGGTAGCATCAAGCAACCTGGAGGTGTGATATCTGCTTTGCAGTTAAAGAAAGGCCTCAGTCTAGAGGAACCCACCTTCATGGCCATTCTGATGGTCGAAGAGGCTATTGATACAGGAGATATCCCACATGAAATTCAAGCACTCCTATGAGAGTATGTTGACATAATGCCACATAGTTCGTCGAAGACACTACCTCGCCAAAGAATGGACCTTGAAATTGAGCTTATTCTAGGGGCCAAACCTCCTGCGAATAATGCATATCGTATGGCACCACTTGACTTAGCTGAACCTAGGAAGCATTTAATGAGTTGTTGAATGCTTAATTCATTCGCCCAGCCAAAGCACCCTATTGGGCTCTTGTGTTGTTCCAGGAGAAGAAAGATGGGACGTTGCGTCTGTACATTGACTATAGAGCCCTCAAGAAAGTCACATTTTTCAACAAGTACTCTTTCCCCGATCAATCTCTCACATTTTAAATCAATTTTCTCGTAAAACGTGAGCAGAGGCTAGGCCATTGATCGGGATTGTCTGTGACTTGTGATTTTCTCGGCTAACTTGCTTGTTTGAGCTAAAACAAGTGTCACACAATCGCTTGGCCTGTTCGAAAGAAGTGCGATTGTGACATAGAGCACGCGCGAATGGCAAGGCGATGCACGGGGCTGGTGGGCACGCGGTAAAGCATAGGCGTGCGCGCGAAAGGCACTGTCGTGCGCCCACAAGGCGTCTCCATGCGAGGTTAGCGTGCTTTTAATGTCATTGAGCGTGCGGTGGTGCTCTTCTCTTGTCGTGATGTGGTTCCAAGAACTTGTTGCTAAATATGATCATATCACTTCCACCAGATAATTTTTACATAAAATTACCATAGATAATTTTTATTTATTGTTTTATTAAGTGCGCCTCACTTCAATCAGGCCTTGCATTTTTATCGTCTCTGGCTTAAGGCGAGGCTTGTCGCCTTTAGGTATACCTTGCTACTTGAAAACACTTGGTGCACTTTGATGACATACCGATGAATACTCATTAGTTTTTATACTCCCAGTAGTAAAGTTTGAATTGTTATATGTCTATCAAAATGGTAGTTTCTTGGCATCTAGGGTCAATTCCTTTCCCAATTGGTGGGTAGATCATTGAGGAATTTCGAAATTGCAACACTAAACTAATCCTTTTGGTAAATATAAACCTTTTCTTTCAGGACATCCAAATGGTCATACTTGTATTTCATCCAATGAAAATTTCATGGCAAAAGGTATGCTCTTCTTCTTTGAATGATAAAGGTGATAGCGTTATTTTTTCTCTTTTGAACTAAGAGTGTATAGTGATATTAACATTTTATGACATACGGAAATTATTATTAGTTGGTTACAAGTTTTATTTTTGATGACTAACCGTGTAATCCTATTATGAAATTTTTCTTCTTACATGCAAGTAGTTGGTATGTTTTATGGCTTTTGAATGGGAATAATCAAGTTTTTCGTTCATTCTTTAAAAGCTTCAATAAAAAGTTGCCCTTTTCAATTTTGGCTCTTCTGAGAACTATTAAGTAGTTACAAAATATATTTTTGGTTTTGTCACCACACCACCCAATTCCACGATCATCTATAATATATATATTTTTTTGACTAGGAAACATAGAATTGTCATTGATGAAATGAAAAATTACGATGATAGAAGTCACGAGTAACTTCCAATAGAAAATACATGCAGTCCAACCAACAACCAAAAATACAACAAACACTCTCAGCCAAAACCAAATGACGGATAAAAACTAATACAAAAATCATAAAAAACCTTTATGTGTTCTTCCTGGCCCAGATGCCAAAGAATACGTTGCCAAGGAGCTTGAAAAAGCAAAAACTGAGCCACCCTACGAAGAGGTTTAACAAATCACTAAACAACAGAAAAGAATTTTCCTCCATATATGAGATTCCATGAGCCAGGAGTAGATGAAAAAGCTACATCGTCAAAGCCACCAATGAGCTTCAACTCAAAACCCAAAAAAAACATCATCCTAGAATTGAATTGAAAAAGCAACCGCAAACAATAAATAATAAAAAAAAAAGAAAAAAGAAAAAAAAAGAAGAAAACCCAAACGGGAAGAATATCAAGAAAGGGTCTACATTTGAAGCCTAAACATCTTTTCTAATCACCAACACGCGAGCCTTAAACCTACCAAAAAACAAAACAAAAGCTCCACAAATATGACTTCTTAGGCTTTCTTTGTACAGATTGGAACCATAATTATTCCAGATTTCTTGAAAAACATCAGCACTCTTGATGTAGGTAGTTGGCTGGTAATATAACCTTTACCGTGTATTTAGCTTAGCTACAGCATTTATGTAGTTAGCTTTTGCTTTTACTGCACCGTAACAGTAGTTACTGTTTTAGAGTTTAAGTGAGAAACCTCTATAAATAGGTTTCATCCCCATTAATGAAAGATAGATTGACTTATTCTCAATACTTTGTGCAAGATTGCATCAATTTGGTATCAGAGCACCAAGATTGTTTTTGTCATGGCAAGCAAGAAAGCTCCCACCAATACAGTAGGAGATTCTTCTTTTGCCAGAAAAGAGACGGATCAAACCACCTCACCACGAGCCACAACCAAACACTTGCTATCGGTTGAAGGAGCTATAGAAGATATCCAAAGGAATGTAGGTGAGATACAACAACTTTTGAGTAAAATATCTTGGCAACTCGAAGATTTAAACTTGCAAAAAAATGAATCAAGATTTGGCCAAGAAGAACAACGAAAAGGATAGGGCATTAGAATCCTTCAACACCAACCAAGAAGATTTCAAGAACCTATTTTTGAACCAAGAATTTTGTAAGAACTGTGAGCTAATCAGCAAGAATTCAATCGAAATCCTTTGTTTCAAAGGAGAGATGAAATACATCTAGATTCTTCGAGTGAGGAAGATGAGATCCTTGATTTGGTCGAAAATAGACTATTGGTTAGATCTAACCAACCACAATTTTATGATACAAAAGGGAACGACAATAATCTTCATCAAGAACGAAAATAGCGACCTATATTAACAACAAGACAACACCAAGAACAAAGGAATCCGTCCGTAGGAAATACTATGAATATTTTCCACCACGATAGACCTAAAGAATGCAAAATGGAAGGGTTGCTTCAAGAATCCAACTTTTCCAGCAAAGAAGAAGAGTTTTTTTGTGGGTTTGTTGATTATTTTGATGATACTGAAGAAGATTCAGGAGTGCAATGATTAAAGGAGATGAAGGTTTCTTTAATATCGATAACCTTATTATAAATGGTGAGGCATTAGCTAAACCAAACATTTTGTTAAGCCAAGAAATACTACAAACTAGATTGAACATAATGGAAGGAGATTTTGTAAAAACTAAGGATAGAGATACCCGAGAGACATGCACGAGCAGAGAGAGAAGAAATAAATTCTTATTTTCCAAATTGATTGATCAAAGATGAGGAATAAAGACACTATATATAGGTTGCAAGAGGAAACAAAATCTAGGAATAACCTCCTAACTCCCCTAACAAAAAAGGAGATTTATTTGCTAAATTTTTTAAAAAAATCTAAACAACTTCTAACTAAAACCACATCATCTAAACTTCTAACTAATTCAACACTCTCCCTCAAGCCGGACCACGCAGATTGAACAGTTTCAGCTTGACCAACAATCTTTCAAACATAGACCTCAATAGTCGTTTTGTTAGGATATTTGCAGCTTGATCTGATGATGGAACATACATAAGATTTATAATTTTCTCTTCAATCTTCTCCTTGTTAAAATGTCCGTCATTCTCAACATGCTTAGTACGATCATATGATGCATTGGATTGGGTGCAATAGCAATTGCAGCCTTGTTACAATAGACTTCCATTGAACTATCAAACCTGATTTTAAGTTCTAGAAGGAGTTTCAGCCACGTTATCTCACAAACACCATGAGATAATGCCTTGAATTCAGCCTCAACATTACTTCTTGCAACAACTGATTGTTTCTTACTCTTCAATGTAACAAGATTACCCCAGTACAATATCGTGTCGTAGATCTCTTATCTTGAATAGAACCTGCCCAATCAGCATCTATAAAGACCTTAATCTTTTTATCATCATCCTTTCCCAAAAAATAATCCAAGTCCTGGAGTTCTTTTAATATATCGAAGAACATGATAATTCCATGTGTTATTCAGTAGGAGCATGCATGTATTGATTTACCACACTAACTGCAAATGCAATATCCGGCCTAGTATGGATGAATAGATTAATCTTCCAACAAGACGTTGATATCTCCCTTTATCAACCGGTATCCCTTCTAGGCTCTCTCCCAACTTATGATTGGGATTTATTGGAGTATTAGATGGTTTACATCCAAGCATTCCGGTTTCTTTCAAGAGGTCTAGTATATATATATTTTTTGACATACAAATATACTAGTTATGATCCTTGTGACTTCCATCCCTAGAAAATACTGAAGTGCCCCCAGGTCATTTATTTAGAACTCTTTTCAAGTGCCTATTTTAGTTTCTCTATTTCTTCATGATGGTCACCTGTGATGATATGACCCATGTTTTCGAGGCGCACCCAGGCGAGCGCCTCAAGCGAGAGGCGAGGCGATTTCGCCTGGAAGCGCCTTAAACGGTGCGAAGGTGAGCGCCTTCAATCGAGCGCTCGCGTTGGTGCGCCTCCCTACGCTTGGGCGCGCCCTCGCTTTATGGGGTGACGAGCGCCTCGTTGAAGTGAGGCATTTCACGCCGCTTTTTTTATTTTATTTTTCCCTCTCTTTCTTTTTATGTTAAAAACCCATGAAAAGCAAACTTGAAAACCGAATATCCGTAGCCAAAAATAAAAATACCCACACCCGAAAGGCTTTTTCCTTCGCTGTGTCCACCACTTTCGTCCTTGTATTATAAGTTTTTCGATTTTTCTCGTTGATTCTTCCTATGTTTGCTTCAATTCTTCTTCAATTATTCAATTCTTCTACATCAATTCTTTAATTGAGAAAAGAACCAAACAATAAAAGAATCAAAATTTAAGAAAGAAAAGAACCAAATAATAGAACAGTAGAAGACAAAGAAGAAGAGTTGGAGAAAAAGAAGAATCAAGGAAGAAGTTGAAGAATAATGGAAGAAGAATCAAAGAGAAATTTGAAAAACGTGCAAATTGAGATCATGTCGCTTCAGTTCTTCTCTCCTTTTCTTTTTTTACATTTCCAAGCCGCTCTCCTTTTCTTTTTTACATTTCCAAGCCGCTCTCCTTTTCTTTTTTTTATATTTCCAAGCCACACTAAACAAGTGCTAGTGCTAGAAAATACACACCTGCAATAAAATTGCCATCTGGTGGCAACACTTCTCAATGGCAATAAGCACTCCCTACTTTGATGCATGGTTTAATTTAAATACAAATGTTTTTATATCTTTCTATTTAACCACAGTTTACTAATTTTTTTTAGAATTTATATTTTTAATTTTTCTTAAATATTTGAACTTAAGTTTTTAATTTTTCTTAATTATTTAAGTTAAACTTTATTTGCACATTAAATGGTTGTACAAATATTTGCATCTATAGTATTTTATTTTTTACTAAAATTACTATAGATAATATTTATTTATTATTTTATTTAGTGCACCTCGCTTCAGTCGGGCATTGCCTTTTTATCGCCTCTCGCCTCAAGGTGATCAAAGGACTTGTAGCCTTGAGGTGTGTCTTGCACCTTGAAAACACTGGATACGACATAAACAATGAGGATGGTGATCTTACCTTGAGAGTGCCTATAGAACATTGTGTGATCGGTTTGAGCTTGGGTATACCCTTGTTTACAAACAACCTTTGAAAATTGCTCGAACCACGCACGTGGGGATTGTTTTAAACCATAGAGAGATTTCTTCAGCTTACACACCTTTCCATCATACTTATCAATGCCAAATCCAATAGAGATCCATGTACACCTCTTATTCCAAATCTCCATTGAGGAATGCATTCTTGACATTCAGTTGTTGTAGTTTCCAATCCAGATTTGCAGCAAGGGACAAGAGGACACGAACTATGTTTAGTTTTGCAACGGGTGCAAATGTCTTTTGATAGTTTGCCCTAAAAGTCTGAGAGTATCCTTTGGCCACCTATCTTGCTTTATACCTTTCAATGACCCCATAAACCTTATATTTGACAGTAAAGATCCATCGACATTCTACCGTTAATTTATCTTGAGGACGATCAACTAATGTCCACCTATCATTAAGCATCAAAGCCTTCATTTCATTATCTACTGCATTTTTCCACTTGGCATGGATCACTCATAGCCTCTTGATGGATTTTGGTACCTCATTGGCTTCTAGATTGAGAGCCAAGGTTTGAACTGCGAGATAAATGACTATAACCAACATATCGAGCAATTGGATGCTGAGTACACGAGCTCACAACCTTCTTAAGTGTAATAGGGAGATCAAGATCATTAGTATTATCTGGAGGCACAAGAGTAGATTCTTTAGTACCTAAAGACGAGATCGATTCATGACTTTGCTGTTGAGGCTGTGGTGGCTCCACTCCTCTTTGAACCGTTTGTCGCCGAGAATAAACTAGAGTCTCAGGTTGCTTGTCACTTCGATTTGGGTTGGGTTGATCATCTTCAATTAAAGGAAATAATAGGAACTGATTCTTCTGTTTGAGTCATTGGGGCGATCGGGATAGGTATTTTTGGTTGAGGAAACTCGGTATTTAGATCGTCAATCTCAGGTATTTTTGATTAAGGGAACTCAATTCTAGTATTTAGATCGTCAATCTCCCAGAAATTTCTATCAAGATTACTTGCTACGGCTCAGTCTCCCCTGAGGGGAATTTAGGGATAAAAAAAGATTTAAGACTAAAAAAATGTGATCCATGGTAGTGTAAAATTTATTGGTGGCTGGACAATATCTGATTTGAATATGTTGGAGATTCATATCATTCTCCAACATATTCAAATCAATAACATTTATAGCCTTTTTGAGTAGGAGAGTAACAAATGAAGACACTTTCTGGCTTTTGGCTCCAATTTGTGACGTTCATAATCATAACATGAGTAAACATAGTACATCCAAATGTTTTGATGGGAATTGTGAGGATAAATCGAATTTGAGGATAGATAGTGAGTAATATTTCTAATGGAGTGTTAAATTTCAGAGCACGAGAGGGCATCCGATTAATGAGATAACAAGTAGTAGGGACAGAATCACCTCAAAAATGGTTAGGAACAGAATGAGTGAACATGAGGACATGGGAGTTTCTAAAAGATGTCTATTTTTCCTTTCAGCTATACCATTTTGTTGGGGATAATGACAGAGGAACTTTGGTGAATGATTCCATTTTGAGACAAAAAAGTAGCCAATGTTTGATTAAAATATTTTGTCCCCTTATTTGTGTATTTGTGCGAAGAATTTTGATTCTCGTACTGAATTGATTATGAATGAGGGAATGAAACTGTTGAAAGATTGATGCAGTTTCTAATTTTTCTTTAAGTAAATAGACCGAACAAACTCTAGTATGGTCATCAGTGAAGGTAAAGAACAACATCTAGCAAACATAGTTTTGATGCGAGACGACCCCCATAAGTCACTATGAATCATTGTGAATAGAGTGGATGGTATATACTCAACAGCAGGATAAGACGTACGAGAGTGTTTTGCAAGTTGACATACTTCGCAAGTAAAAAGGTCGTCTTTGTGGAAAAGAGAAGGATATAAATGTTTAAGATACTGAAAGCTCAGGTGCCCTAAACGGCAATGTAAAAGCAGAATCTGTTGTTCTCTAGAAGTTTACTTTGGAAAACTTGTTTATTTATTAGATTTGGTTCTTTGAAATAGTAGAGCTCTTCAAAGCCATCAGCTCTACCAATCGTCGTTCCCATTATCAAGTCTTGAAAAAAACACTTCGAGTCAGTGTACAAGACCTGACACTTTAAATCATGAGTCAACTTTTGAACAGAAACTAGATTGCAACATAATTTAGGCACATGGAGTATTGAGTGCAATGTAGTATTCCGGCTAAGAACAACAGAACCAAAGTCCTTAATAATGGCCAATGACCCATCTGCAAGCTTGACATGTGTCTGAATCGGGTTCGGTGAGTACATGGTAAAGATATCATGAAAAGCGATCATATGATTWGTTGCACCCGAATCTAAGATCCACTAATTAGAATGCCGTTGACTTGTTGAAGCTACACCAAAATACCTTATTGTGCCATGAAACTTGAAGGAGTAGACTCAACCGGCAATGTTAAGAGGCGGTAGAGCGGTTCAAGTTGTGCCTTCAAAAATGGAGGGAGAGAGGTGGTCAGTTCTTGGGAGTTTGACACACTAAGGCCCACTTGATAGCCGAAGGAGCTGGTTCGAGAAGGTGGAGTATTTGTGGTCAGAGGAGGCTGATAATCTCTTGATAAATTCTTTCATTGGGGACAACCATGGAGTTCCCAACACCAATCTTTTGTATGGTTTGTGCGCTTACAGTGATCACACCATAGGTTGTTTCGACGAGAAGATCGAGATGGAGGTGGTGGGGGGCCTCGTGACGCCAGAGTTGATGATTCCGATGAGAGGTACGTAGGTTTTGCGGGTGTATCATCCATCATCATGCGTTTGCGGCTTAACTTGCAGCTGACTTCTACAAAGATTTCATCAATGGTTGGGATTGGCTTTGTGGCAAGTAAGTAGCCACGCACATCATCTAATTCCGGACGAAGACCTATTCATTCCTTCTTGATGTGTTTGCAGAAGGGTTCAGCATCTTCAAGTTCTTCCATTCGAAATTGAGACATAGATTAAGGTCAGCCCACAACCGACGTAATGAGCTATAGTATTGGGTGACATCGGATTTACCTTGTCGTAGGGAGCGTGTCTTATTGCGTAATTCGAACAATTGAGTAGAGTTATCAAAATCAGCAAAGGCAGTAGTGACCCTTTGCTGTTAAGTAGAAGAGGAATGATTCTTTAATGTCGTCCTCCTCCATCGAGTTAATGAGCCATGCCATGATCATTGAGTTTTTAGCATCTCACACGGAAAAAGAAGATAGTGGGTAGTTTTGAGAAGGATCCCGAGAAAAAGAATGTTGATAATTTGGAAGGTTTCTGTCTCAACGAGCTACTACGTCAAAATTTATTGGGATTTGATTTAGTTTGATCACTTTATCGTTGTTTTGATGAGTTAAAAAGGGCTTTTTCGGTTGGAGTATTTTTGAACCACAAGAAGAAGCGAGTTTCTATTTTGAGGATTGTTCACAGCCTTCTAACTCCACGGCTTTTAAACTTGAGGACGAGTGTTATCTTTTGGGTCGGGGAAATTGATGTAGGTAGTTGGCTGTTAATATAGCCTTTATTGTGTATTTAGCTTAGCTGCAGCATTTATGTAGCTAGCTTTTAGCTTTTGATTTTATTGCACAGTAACTGTAGTTACTGTTTTAGAGTTTAAGAGTTTAAGTGAGAAACCTCTGTAAATAGGTTTCATCCTCATTAATGAAAGATAGATTGAATTATTCTCAAAACTTTGTGCAAGATTGCATCAACTCTTGTCTCCTAACTTTTCTTTCACCTACAAACCCTCATCTACATCTATATGGTGAAGCAATGATTTCGGCCTTTGTAACCCACATTCTCCAATTTTCCACTATTTATGTCCTTGAAAATACCACTTTTATTAGACTTCTGTTTATTTTTTTGATTTACTATCGATTCTGGTCGTAGACAGAATGTTGTTAGGAAAGTTTTACGTTAGGAAGATTTTCTTTTTGGGTGTGTAATTAGTTGCTTATTTCTAGTTTGTACTAGGTAGATGTTATCATTCCTGACGTGGTTGTTCCTTATATTTTTTTTAAATGTCAAAGATGGTTCTGTAAGAATCAGCTTGTACATTCTCTATAAGTTATGAAAAATTATGAAGCAATATGTGCCAGTGTACTATGTAAGAGCCTTTTTTTGTTTTTTCTTATGAACTTGAATCCCTCCTCAAGCCGACAACCAACTTTATTCTTAGTTAAGAATGTTAGACATGAAAGAAAGAAACAATGAAGGAACCACATGTATGCAAATCATAAAGGGTTGAGCCCCATTTCAAGGGATCTAAAATTTTGGTATGGTCGGTTTGAGGTGGCTAAACTAAAAACTTCTCAATGGTGTTCCTTTTCTGAATTATTTTCGAATTTCTCATTGTTGGGAGGTCTTTATAACTTCTTAGGTTTCTTTATAACTCCTTAGTTTTGTTTTGTTTTGTTTTTTTTTCTCTCGAAGTTTGTATCTTTGAACATGTATTTCTTTTCATTAATTCAAAAGTTTCGTTTCTTGTTAAAAAAAAAAAAAAGTGCATCTTCACAGCCACCATTAAGATACCTAATTGACAAAAAGATTGTGCAATAGATAAAGTCACCCTCCCTTTGGGGCTTGATCATGTGAGCCCATCATTATGAAAAGGAAAGTTTGGATATCAGTAATCAATGTGGTTGTTGAAAGGTCATGCCTTTTTGTAATGTTACCTCCACTAATTTCTGTTCATTAAGTTGTTGAGATTCTGAACGCTACACCATCTGGAACTACGCAATCCAAGAAGACCGATGTTCAACTCAACCTAGAAAGCCTTGTTGACTTTCAAGGAATTTCATCTTTCTTAGTGAAAGTTCTGTTTCTTGTTCATGAAGCAACAAATTAATGGCAAAATATTTTTTAATATTTAAGAATCTGTATTTTTATTTAAATCTATTTGTATGAAGAACCTATTAATTCAAAGTAATTATCAAGCTAAATTGCACTATCTTCTGTATCTGCATAGGATCAACTTTTCGTCACAATATTTACCCAGCATACAAGAGTAACAGGCCACCTACACCTGATACCATAGTTCAGGGGCTCCAATACCTTAAGGCATCCATAAAGTCTATGTCCGTTAAGGTGATTGAGGTAATTAGTACATTAATTTTTCTATGGTTTATTAGATTGCTTCCATTTTCTCTAGACTTTTATTTTATGGAGTTCTGTGTCTTTGTTTTTCCGTTGAGGGATGTAAGATTTACATTTAGCTTTTTTCTAGCAGCTCCTAGATGAAGTCATTTGTTTATTTTTCCTACAATTTGTTCAACCACTTGACTGTGCTACTCATAGCATCTTTTTGAATTTTTCATGTTTATTGTTTATTTGACAAATTAGCCTTTTATTCTCTGATGGTTGACTTTTATTAGACTCAATGATAGGTACCTGGAGTGGAAGCTGATGATGTAATTGGCACATTGGCTTTGAGAAGTGTTGCCACTGGGTGTAAGGTGATACACTGACTAGATATTTCAAAATGACATATCGGTCATTTTGAAATTTGGGTCATTTTGAAATTTATTTTACATGCTTGCCAAAATTGTACTATGTTTTGGTGATATATTTGATCATCCACTACTTTCTTCCATTGAGTGTCAAACAGGTTCGTGTTGTCTCTCCAGACAAAGACTTCTTCCAGATTCTCTCTCCTTCATTACGTCTCTTACGAATAGCTCCACGCGGGTTTGAGTAAGAACATATGGATTACTTGCTTCTTAATTAAAAATAACTCACCAACTTTATAAAAGAATTAGTATTTTATGTGACACTTTTCTGTCATTTATATTACTCTCCTTACTGGGCTGAATGGGTTGAGTGGTGATTTAATAGGTGAGTGGTGATTTAATAGGTGGGAAATCTTATAGCATTTTGAATAATCAATTCTTTATTTAAAGAAAAATTTTAAAAACACTCGCTCCTCTCTCCTTATAGGTTTTTCTTCCATCATTATTTTCCTAGGCAAGTATTTTTTTTTTTTTTTGGATCAAGATATGAAATTTTCATCAATTAAGGAAAATAAACAATACAAGTTCAAAGATACAAACTCCGATAGGAGGAAAAAGAGAATTGAGATAACAAAAATCAATGGAAAAAAAAGGAAAAGAGCAAAGAACTACAAAGAGAAAATAAAAGCACTCCAAGAATCACAAATGGAGCCTGAATAATAATCCTTGAATGAGATGAAAGAGAACACCACGAGAGGCTTTAAATTTTCCCAATTCAAAGCATTCCCACCCAATTCTTGCTCCAATCCTGAAAGGTTTTTTGATTCTTTTCAAACCATAATTCTTACAAATTCGACTGCATTAATCCAGATCAAGCGAGCCTTCGAGGAAAGAATAGGACCATGCAAAAGTTGCAACAGATTACTTTTGGGGTCTTTTGAAAAACCCAAAGAACATTGAATAGAGAGAAGATCAACCACCAACGGTTCAATGCATAAGAGAAATAACGAATGAGCTCGAGATTCACTGTGAGATGAACACAATGCAAAAAGAAAGCTATTGAGCGGAGTTGAGAAGCTTCCTTTGAAGGATATTGGAGGTATTCAAATTGCCTTGCAATAATATCTAAACAAATACAAAATTCTCAATCTTCGTTAATGAAAGACCAAGAGGTAGAATCAAAGCTTCAAGTGGTTTGAGACAAGGCGATCCTATCTCTCCTTTCCTTTTCTTACTAATAAGTGATGTTCTGAGCAGCTTAATAGAGAACATTCATGATAAGGAAGTTTTTGAGGGGTTCACTATGGGAAGAGACTCAGTGCATGTTTCTCTCATGCAGTTTGCGGATGATACTTTGCTTTTTTGCAAAGATAAAAAGGAGATGTTAAAAATCCTGTTTGAGACTATTAAGGCCTTTTAGTGGCTTTCTGAAATGAAGATAAATTGGGAGAAGTCTTCATTGAGTGGTGTCAACATAGAAGACCAAAGAGATGAACAGACTGCGAAGAATCTCAATTGCAAAGCCGAAAAGTTGCCAATTTTGTATCTAGGTTTGCCCTTGGGAGGAAATCCTAAGAATGCTGATTTTTTGTCCCCTGTACAAGAAAGAATCTTTAAGAAACTTGATAGGTGGAAGAGATATCAGATTTCAAAGGGCAGTAGACTGACTTTGTGTAATTCTGTTCTTGCTAGTATTCCTCTATACTACCTATCTCTATTTCATCTGCCTGTGATGATTAGCATTGGAAAAAATCCTGAGGATTTTCTTATGGGGAGACTACTTAAATGGCTCATTGAAACATTTAGTCCGGTGGGATCTTTCTTCTCTTCCTTGTGATGCAGGTGGTTTGGGAGTTGGTAACCTCTTAAAGAAGAACAGAGCACTTTTAGCTAAATGGGATTGGCGATTTAGCAATGAGCCATTAGCTTTGTGGCGTTTGGTAGTGGAGAGTATTTATGGTACTAACGATTGTGGTTGCAATGTGGCAGTGAAGAAATATGGTGGTTCAGCATCAAGAAACAGTGGTTTTTGGTGGAAGAGTTCACTAATTTTATAGTTGGGAACGACAAAAGAGTTCTATTTTGGCACCATTTGTGGTTAGGGTCATCCTTGTTAAAAGTAAGATTTCCTTCCATTTTCAACCAACCTTTCCTCATCTCTTCTAATCACTATTTCTGAAGCTCGGGATAGAAATTCATCTTCATGACACTGGAAACGAGGAGATCTTTGAAAGATGTGGAAGTTAGGAGATCTTTGAAAGGCGAGGAAACTAACGATTTTTGGCTCTCTTGGATTGGCTTTCTACAGTTGTTCCTAGTAAGGATGACGATGTTAGGCGTTGGACCTTGCATTCCTTGGGGTTATTCTTTGTAAGTTATTTGTGCAAAATTAATGATGCCACTTCTAAATTCCCAAGGGATTATAGACATAGTCCGTTCCTTTGGAATTCAGGAAGTTCAAAAAAGTCAGTTTCTTGGCTTGGATTCTGCTCAGCGGGAAGGTTAATTCAGTAGAAGTACTCCAAAAAAAGGCTACCTAATATGGCTTTACAGCCTTCTATGTGTTTCCTATGTGTTGTTCATAGCGAAAATCAGAGGCATATTTTTTTTCTTTGTCCTTTTGTGGCTGCCTGCTGGAGATTTCTTCTTAATATTTTCAACATCTCATGGGTTTTTGATTCGGATAACTCCACAAATGTCTACCAGCTGCTCAACGGGAAGGTTAATTCCGTAGAAGTACTCCAAGAAAAGGCTAGCTAATATGGGTTAACAGCCTTGTATGTGTGTCCTATGTGCTGCTCATAGTGAAAATCAGAGGCATATTTGTTAATTGATAAGGAAAAATAAGTCTTTCTTACTCTCAAACAATTGATACAAGACTATAAATAGCAGCTACAAAAAGAAAAGAAAACGAAAGCCTACCTATTAGGATAAGAAACGCTTACCTATTAGAATAAGGAAGCCCCTATTAAATCCTAAATACAATAGAAAAATAAAAGAATATAATTTAACACTCCTCTCAAGTTGGTGAATGAATATTCTCCATTCCCAGCTTGTTAACCAAGTGATCAAAGTTGTTGTTGTTCAATTCTTTCGTAAGGAGATCTGCTATTTGATTATTTGCTGGCATAAATTGAGTACATATGAGACTGTTGTCTAAATTTTCTTTTATGAAGTGTCTTTAAACCTCAATATACTTTGTTCTATCATGTTGAACTGGATTATGTGCAATACTGATCGCAGACTTATTATTACAGTAAGGTTTCGTAGGTCCCTCCCATGAAATTTTTAAATCTTTTAAAATAATATTTATCAGAGTAATTCGCAAATGCCCAATGCCATTGCTCTAAATTCTACTTCTAAACTCAATCTTGCAACTACATTCTACCTTTTTACTTTTCTATGTTACTAGGTTTCCACCTAATAAAGTGCAATAGTCAGAAGTTTATTTCCTACTGTCTATCGATCCTGCTTAATCTGTATCTGTATGAATTTCTAGATTGATTTTCTCGCCTTTCTTAAACAACAATCCTCTTCCAATGAAGTTTTTCAAATAGTGAAGTATTCGTACACTGCTTGAAGATGAACTTCTTTTAGACTATGCATAAATTGACTTACCCCAGTTACCACTCCTACAGCATACGCAATATCTGGTCTTGTATGAGAAAGATATATTAACTTTCCAACTAGCTTCTGGTAAGTTTCTTTATTTATTGGAGGACTCTCTTCAGTTTCACATAATCTATGGTTTTAATCAATCAGAGTTCCCATTGGTGTGCTACCAAGCTTTCCTATTTTAGAAAGTAAGTAAATCACATATTTCTGTTGTGATAAAAATATGCTCGATTTAGAATAGGCGACTTCTATCCCAAGAAAATATTTAAGCTTTTCCAGTTCTTTACTTCAAACTCTTTGATTAAGCAATTTCTCAGTTTATCTGGTTCATTATGATCATTGCTTGTAACAATAATATCTTCGACATAAACAATCAGCACTGTTAATCCCCCTGCAACAAATTTTTTTATAAATAATGTGTAATCTCCTTGACTTTGTTTATAGCCTATCTTCCTCATAACATGAGAAAATCTACCAAATCATGTCCTAGGAGATTGGTGGAATTTCTATATAAATTTCCTCTTCAAAATCACCATGCAAAAAAACATTTTTTACATCATATTGTAACATGTCCCATCCACGATAAGCACAAATGGCACGAAGAACTCGAACTCGAGCTTCGAGCCTAGGAAGCACGAACACTCCATTTTAGGTGGAGTGTTCGTGTTGGACACCGACATGTCTGGACACGCTCCGAACACGTGTTTGAGTCTTTGACACGCCTATTTGCATGTCCTCTTTTCTTTTTTTTTCTTTTTTTTTTGGTTAAATAAAATAATATATTTAACCATAGCTTTTTTTTTTTTTATCATTTTGCGGCTGCCTGCTGGAAATTTCTTCTCAATATTTTCAGCATCTCATGGGTTTTTGATTCAGATAACTCTAGGAATGTCTACCAGCTGCTGTTTGGTTTAAAGTTATCTAGAGGTATCCAAAAATTACCTTCAGAACTGGATTCTTTCCCTTTAAGAGAATTTTCGATAAAAAAAGGTTATGTTCTAGAAAGACACAATGAGTTTCAAAAAAAGGTGGCATGACAGTTAGAATTCCAAGAAATTTTACTAATAGATAAAAGGTTGCATGCTAATTTAGGAACATGTAAAACAAATTTTAAGATAATAGTTTCTGTTAATTGAATAGTTCATTTTCTTGCAATAGAAGAGAAACTAATATTTGCTATTCGAATTTTTTCATTGCAATAAGTAGGAGAGTAAGACTGAAAAAGTTGAGAGGAACTAGTCATATGATCGGAAGCTCTGGAATCAATAATGCATGGAGATGAATTAAGGCATGCTAAGGCATGGGGATAATTACTTGATTATGCCAAAGAAACACTAGGATTACCAGATGATGAATTAGTTTTTAGCAACTTCAGGAGTGGATCAACTTGCTTTTACTGAACTGGTAAGAGTCAACATTATTTGCCATGGAAGAAGACAACTGGCTGCCACCACTCCTCTCTCCTGTTTTATGACTCTTCCAATTAGCTAGTTTTCCATGAAGCTTCCAGCAAGTTTAACGGGTGTGTCAAGATTTATTACAATAATCACACCATATGCGAGATTTCTCATTCCCCTTACTTTAATAATTTAGCGCCTTATTAGCAATTGCTCCAGTCCCTAATGCAAAGTCTTCAACAGTGTTGCTTGCACTTTTATTACCAAGCATAACATTCCAACGACTTTCTTCACGTCGAACTTTAGAAAAGACCTCACCAATCGTTGGAAGTGGTTGTTTACCAATAATTTTTCCTCTAACCTCGTTAAATTCCACATTCAGGCCAACAAGAAATTTGTAAATTCGACCTTCTTCTACAATTTTCAGATAAAGTTTTGAGCCAGCTCAGCATTTCTACTCATGAGTATCAAAAAGGTCAAATTCTTGCCAAATTCTTGTTAAATAGTTAAAATATTTCGTAACTGTATCTATTCCTTGTCGAATTTCACTCAATTTTAGGGTTAATTAAAGTACCAATGATCGATTCCCCAAATCAGAGATTCCATCCTATAATGGATTCCTTTGCAGTGGAATAACATATATAGTTGACACTGGTCTCGTCATCCCTAGAATTCACTAACCAAGTCATTACCATGGAATTTTCAGTGTCCCACGTAGTAAATGAAGGGTCTTCTGCGACTGATTCTTTTTTATCTCCAGTAATATAAGCCAATTTTGTCTTGCCTACTGTTAGAGTATTTATTAGTATATTTTATATTATTATATTACATTCTTATTCCTATTATGTTTAGGAATTTTTATATTATAAATAGGTTTGTACCAAGCAATTAATTTTCAATGAAATCATATTTTGTTATTCTCCCCTAAAAGTTAACATGGTATTTGGGTAGGTTCTCTCTAAAACTTTTTGAATTTTAGGATTTTGTACCCATTAGGGTTTGAAATTTGGAACGCTTTCTTGCAAGTGTCCATTGGTACCAAACTCACTGCAGTACCACCGACGCTCGTTGTTGCCGCCGCTGATTTAATTTTCGGTTAGATCTGTCAGTTGTCGTTTGCCTCCGCCCCACATCGTTGCAGTCAATTCAGATCTGGTCAAGTCTCCACCATCGGTCGAAAGTCTCGGTGCATCGGAGAAGAAGACGTCCACTATCATCGGAGAAGAAGAGGTCCGTCGTCGCCGAAGAAGAAGTGATCTGCTGTGGTCGGAATAGTAGGAGAAAATCTGATCGTTGGGTTTGTTGTCCACAACTTTCCTTCTAAGACGCCATCATGGGTACTGTTGGGTTGCCTCATCGCAAAAAAAATAAAAATAAAAAGTAAAAAATTTGGGTGTTATTATTTTAGGGTTTGCTTTAGATTTCAGTCGGTTCGGTTCAATTGGTCTTGTCTATCCGGTTCAGTTAAGCTGATTTGTTTGGTTCTGTTCGGTTGGTTTGGTCTGGTTTTGTCTTTTGGTTTGAATCATTGTTTATTTGTTATGGCTGAGAAGAAATCAATTGTTACATTAAGGCTCTTGCTGTTTCAAGGAGATGTCTATTTTTCCGTTCTGCAAGTCCATTTTGAGATGGAGTATCGATACAAGAGGATTGAGGAAGAATACCATGATCTTCTAAATAGGAGCCAAGGACACTGGAGAAGTATTCTTTAACATTATTACTTCGGAATACTTTAAGAGAACCACTAAACTTAGTTCGAATTTCAGTATGAAAGTTACAAAAATGAGCTAACAAAAATGAGAAAGTAGCTCAGAACGATTTTTCATTAAATATAACCAAGTTACGTGAGAAAAAATTATCGACAAATGTAACAAACGACCGAAATTCACTTTTGGATTCAATAAGACAAGGACCCCAAAATGGAGTCAATAGGACAAACATCAGAATGAACTAACTCAAAAGGAGTACTAGCTCGTTTCTTGACTCTAGGATATGAACTTAGATGGTGAAATTTAGCAAATTGACAAGACTCGCGGTCTAAAGAGGACAAATTGCGAAATTAAGGACGGAGATTCATCAACACTAAGAGAGATGGATGACCCAAACGACAATGTTCTTCTAAAGGAGATGGCATTCTAGTGCATATGATGGCAGTAGGGAGTTGGGTATCAAATATGTAAAGACCTCCAGATCCACACCCTCTACCAATAGTTCTCTTTGTCGTAAGATCCTGAAATACATTTTAACCAGAGAAGAATAAAACACAACAATTGAGATCACGAGTAAATCTACTAACATAAATTAAATTAAAATAGAACTGTGGTAAATTTAAAACAGAGGTCAACAAAAGAGATTTGGAAAGACGGACTATGCTAGATCCAAGAACAAAAAAAGTGGTGTCATCCGCTAGAGTAACATCAAGAAAAGGCGTAGATGGTAAAAAGGTAGCAAATAAATTTAGATTACCTGACATATGATTTGTAGCACCAGAGTCAATGACTCGTTTTGACGCAGAGGAAAGAAGACATTTACTGGTGTTACCTGACTCAGCGATGAAGATTAGAGAACGATACCGTCAATGACTTTTTATATTGTTGGAACTTAGCAAACTCTTTCGTAGGAATCGAGCATGTAGAGATTGATTTCTTCTTAGCCATAGCAAACAGACGAACTGATTCAAACTAAAGACAAAACGAGATCAAACCAACCGAACAGAACCAAACAAACCAACTTAATTGAACTGGCTAAACTAGGCCAAAATGACCCAAGCAATTGTTTCAGAATTGAAAAATCCTCACAACACACGACGGCTAACGAAGACACCACCCTGCGACAAAGATACAACGACAGCTAATAGCGACTCGCGACGGCTGACGGCGACGTGTGGTGGTTGACGATGAAGCACGGTGAAGAGACCACGACAAGAGTAGACGATGAACACTTGCAACACAAACCCAAATCTTAATGCAACAGCAACAGACAATGACAGCGGCTGCGACAGGAGCAGGCGACGGTAGTATATCGAGTAAGGATACCAATGAACACTTGCAAGAAAGTGTTCCAAACTTCAAACCCTAATGGGCACAAAACCCTAAGATTCAAAAAATTTTAGAGGGAACCTAAAGCTCTGATACCACTTGTTAAGGATAACTGTACCCCTCGTACCTTGAGTATCTCCACAATGGTATGATATTGTCTGCTTTGTGCACAACCCTCACGGTTTTGCTTTTGGTTTCACCGATAAGGCCTCATTCCAATGGAGATAATTGTCCTCTCTTATATACCCATGATCATTCCCTTCCGACCTCTTGTTAAGGACAACGGTACTCCTCATACCCAGAGTATCTCCACAATTGTATGATATTGTCTGCTTTGGGCATAACCCTCATGACTTTGGTTTTGGTTTCACTCAAAAGGCCTCATTCCAATGGAGATAATAGTCCTCTCTTATATATCTATGAGCATTCCCTTCCTTACCCAATGTGGGACTTTGTTTGCATTCTCTTTACAAACCCAACAATCCTCCTCTTGAACAAAGTACCACCGAGCATCCCTTCAAGTAGTCACGCTTCTGTCTACTCTCGGACATGGAACGAGAGCTTTGCTCTTATCCAAGGCTTCCGCCATACTTTGATAGAGCACACCCACAAATTACACCATGACTGCACCTTTCGAGGCTCACCACTTTTTGTTCAACACCCAAGGATTTCATCGATACAGCTACGTTTTAATTCATGGCTCTAACCATGAAGAGACTATGGTTTGAGAGATTCCAATCATTCTATTATTATTATTGAATAATATATATAGATAAATGTACAAGAAAGGCCTAAAAATGTAAAAGGACAATAAAGGACAAACTAGTACAGATTATTACAATAATATAAACTATAGTAATATAAATACTCTAACACCCACTAAAATCAATTGAGGAAGGAATATTAGTTAGATCAACCGTAAGAGTAGTTAACTTAGTATAAACAACTTGAAACAGGGACTTCCCAGAGGAGCGGTTCTTCATTTGGTAGTTATTAGTTTTCAGTGGAGGAGTATCAAATATTTCTTTCAACAGTCTTTTCGGTCTACTTTGTCTAGGCCTTTTAATTTCTATTTTGATCGAACATTTGGTAAGGCCTAGTTTGATTCGAAATCCAAAAACAAGTTTTTAGTACAAGGGATACAAAAGAGATTATTTTTGTTGAACTTAAAAGTGTGTTGGTTGGAAAATTTGAAAACTAAATATTGAAGTAAGAAATTGGCAAAGTGGAAAGGATAGTGAGCTTTAAGAACATAGAAAATAGAAAATGTGTTCGGTCAAATCCTATTAATAAAAATGATACATGCATATATAGATTGTAGATCGAAAAATGTGCATATTGAGAGATAGGATACTTAGAGAGGAGTGAATGGTTACAAAGAAAGAGAAGAGGCTTCGAGAGGTGATGCTTAGAGAGAGAGAGAGGATGTTCAAGTGATATATACCAAATGGAACCTACTAAAACTGTTATATTTTGGGATTTTTTTTTTCTTTTACCTTTTTTTCCTTCCCCGTAAAGCTTCAATTTTTTGATTTAATATATGCTTATTTGGAACATCAACATTTATTGAACTTCATGGTCTATTGCTAGGATGGTTTCTTTTGGGTTGGAGGATTTTGCCGAAAAATATGGAGCTCTAGAACCTTCTCAGTTTGTTGATGTGATCTCTTTAGTCGGTGACAAATCTGATAATATTCCAGGTGATTCATGAATCTCTTTCTAAAAACATATTTCCCTCCTGTGTTAATTTCCTCCCGGTACCCATAAATCCTTGCTGGTACATGTAAAATTTTGTATTTCACATATAGTCACCAGGAGAACTTAGCTTTTTCTAGTATACCTTGGTAGTTTTACTTACCGCTTAATGACTCAACTTCTATGGCTAGTGTTTGAATTTTGACTCTTGAATCCTGATCTAGATTTGAGTTTAGATTTGACTCTTGGCTAGTGTTTGAGTTCGGATTTGAAAGCTTCGTAAATTTGGTGAGCACCAATTACAACTTGATTACAACTTTGATAACCTGGAATTTTCATACCCTAAACTGCTATAATTGGTGTTCTTCATTGAACTCTTTTGGACTTGGCTTTGAACTAGCATGCTTCAGGTCTAATCCACATGCCAAAAATTACACTAGGGCCAAAAGATCATTATAATTAACATGTAATATCATTAATAGAGAATCGATAACTTATACTCCATTCAGTAAAGTTTTTTTTTTTTTTTTTGGATGAGACAAATATTTCATTGATGAGATGATGTTGTGTTTCAGCTTCTCTATAGCACATAATACAGCCATTTAGAGATAAGTCTAGCATTGGAAGTCTTTTCTGAATCCTATCTTGAGTGTTTATAGCTTTACGGCGGTTGAGATATCCATATATTAAGGGTTTCAAAAAACCCGGTAACCGGAAGAACCCGAGCAACCTAACCCAAACATTGGTTTGGTTAGGTAAATTCTCGTTTCGGGTTGGGTTAAAGGTTTTTTTAACCCACCAAATCGGTTCGGTTCTCGGGTTTAGAAAAATAAATTTCGGTCAACCCGAATTGAACCAGTTTTATATATATATATATTTCTAGGTTAAGGCATGGCCGCCTCCTCATTTCCCTCTCCCATCTCATCACTCTCACCTCTCTCCATTAATTTCGCCTCTCTCTCTTTCAATCTCAGTCATTCCCTCTCACTGTTTCATCTTTCTCACCTCTCTCCTTCAATTTCATGTGTCAATTTCTCTCAAACTTTGACCACTCTCAATCTCTCATCTCAATCTCATCTCTCAATCTTCGACGTTTGCCATTAGTCGCCTGTTGCCACAGTCCATCGCCTATTGTCGCATGTCACCGTAGTTCGTTCCAGGCCATTGCCCATAGTCGCGATGTTGCTCGTTGCTGACATTGATTGTAACCGCCAAAGCTCTCATCTCGCCCAAAGAAGCACCTCGTCGTTTGGAGAACCACGCCGTTGCCTATAGCTGCCGGTGTCGCTCATCGCTGCTGTGGCCAGTAATCGCCGAACCTCCCATCTCTTGCACAGAAAGCATGCCTCACCCACAAGAAGATGAAACCCGATGACCCAACCCAACCCAGCCCAAAAACTTTGCTTTGGGTTGGGTTGGCTATATTATTCGGTTCTATTGGTTCTTCGGGTTGGTCCAAAACTCCCCCCTAACCCAACCCAACCCAACATGTGAATACCCCTACCATATATGAATTAAATTTACCCAACCCATCAGCTTAAGCTTTTCGGTTGAGCGGTAGTTTATTCATCCTTAATATGGTATCAGAGCGGGACAACTACTAAGAGAAAGCATGCCTTGTGTTAGTTTAGATCAGGCTAAATTGCTTAAGTAACCATGGACTAAAAATATAGCAGTAGATTGAATTTCTATCTTTTCTAGTTCGTAATTCCTTTTATTGACTAGATAGTGCTTGACGTGCGCATAACTCTAAATGCAGGAGTTGATGGAATTGGAAATGTCAATGCTGTGCAACTTATCACTAGATTTGGTAAGTAGGTTTAAGAGACTAATAAATTCCCTGGTAAATTGACTACAGTGTCATTTTTATTCAATCATATATATGCTTGGTTACCTTCTTATGTTGTGTACTTACTGATGACAGCAAAGATATTTGATTATTATTGAAAATAATGGTAAAGGAGGATACCTGTCTTCTTTGGCTGCCTGTGCAATTGAAGGAAATAATAAATCCTATAAATGAGGAGATAAATTAACCATCCAAATACAAATCCTAAACTATTAAGATTATAAATGAGTATATATCTTCAACACTTGCCTATCTCAAAAAGTCGTGAACATATAAGATGAACAATAAAATGTTTTGGCAAATTGATTGAGATTTCTACTCGGCATCTTTTTCCAAAATGTTGCTTAAACTTGTAATCTTATGTCGTATATTCCCTTTTTCCTTTTTTTTTTTGATTGGAAAGAATAAAAAATATTCACATGAAACAAAATTTAAAGAAATATAAATAGATGAGAAATCCTTTAACTAAATAATAAAAAGGATTTAAAACACTTCCTGAAAAGGCTTTTGAGTGGATTTTGTACTTTTAGGTTGGGTCTGTGGTTCTTTCATTTTTGGAAGTAAAAAACGTTGATCGTAAAATGAAAAAGTATGTTTCCTTGCCAAGAAATACAAACACTTCCTGCAAACGTACAATCAAAATCTAAAGTTTTTCCGTTCTTTGACCAGTAGAAGGTAAAAATTAGAACTGTATGCAATATAAATTGCGTATGATGCATGCCATGCTACTATACTTCTGTGTTCCTTGATTATATTTCCAATATTTATCCTTCTTTCTGTTGTCTCTGGTTCTTGAGCTGTAAGAGTTTGCGTATGGTTATTTACAAATTTTCTCACTGGTCAGGCACGTTAGAAAATTTGTTGCAACATGTTGATCAAGTGGAAGATGAACGTATTAGGAAGGTACTTCTATCAAAGATTAATAGCTAGCTGAACTAAAGAATTTATGAAAACACTTGCTATATATTATTTTGTGTGTATTGGATCAGGTAAGCTGATGCAAGTAATTAATTTTGTTTATTTAGTGTAAACACTAGAGTTTGAGAGAATCCAATGTTATGTATTCTCATTATTAAAGTCTATATACAGACAAATATACAAGGTTGACCTAAACCTATGAGCAGAAGGTAAAGGACAAATTAATAATATTAATACAAGAGAGTATAAAAATAGACTAATATATATGCTCTAGCACTCCCCCTCAAGTTGACATATGTTAATCAAGCCCAGCTTGTTAGAGAGGCAATCTATTCGTGCTCCATTAAATGCTTCAGTAAAGATATCTCCTAACTGCTCTCCAGTCTTCACATATCCTGTAGCCACTAATCCTTGTTGTATTTTCTCATGTACATAATGACAATCAACTTCAATGTGTTTAGTTCGTTCATGAAATACTGGGTTAGATGCAATATGGAGAGCTGTTTGATTATCACACCAAAGTTTCATTGGAGTGGTGATGCCAAATCCCAATTCACTCAGAAGTTGATATATCCATACTAATTCACATACCGATTGTGACATAGCTCTATATTCTGATTCATCACTCGAACACGACACCATATTTTGTTTCTTACTTTTCCAAGAAACTAAATTATCTCCGAAAAATACACAAGATCCTAAGGTTGATCTTCTATCTTCCTTAGAATYTGCCCAATCAGCATCTAAAAAACATTCAATATTAAGATGACCATGATCTTTATATAACAAACCACCTCCAGGAGCACCTTTCAAATACATAAAATATGTTCCAATGCAGCCCAATGACCAGTCGTAGGAGAACTCATAAACTAACTGGATAAGCTATGTCTGGCTTCGTAACTCTAAGGTAATTYAGCTCCCTACTAACCTCCTATACTTCTCAGGATCTTTCAACAACTCCCTTTCCTTTGTAAGTTGTAAATTAGGTATGAATGGGGTACTATGTGGCTTAGCAGCTAACTTTCCTATTTTAGTTAATAGGTCAAGTATATATTTTCTCTGTGATAAGAAAATCCCCTTCTTGCTTCTTATCACCTCAATTCCTAATAAGTATTTCAGCACTTCCAAATCCTTAGTATGGAATTGATTATGAAGAAAAGTTTTGAGTGATAGGATGCCTAATGAATTATTACCAGTAATCACAATATCATCAATATATACAACTAGTAAGATAACACCAGACTCAGATTGTTTATAGAAGACAGAATGGTCCGACTTACTCTTCTTCATTTCAAAGTCCTCAATCACCTGACTGAATTTTCCAAACCATGTTCGTGGACTTTGTTTCAACCCATAAGGATTTTTGAAGACGACATACCATCTCTCCTTGAGCAACAAAACCTGGTGGTTGCTTCATGTACACTTCTTCTTGAAAATCACCATGGAGGAATGCATTTTTAATATCAAGCTAATGTAAGGGCCAATGGTGAATAGATGCCCAGGAAATGAATAACCTGACAGAAGTCAATTTAGCAATCGGAGAAAACTTATCAGAATAATCAATTCCATAAGTCTGCGCATATCCTTTAGCAACAAGACGAGCTTTCAAATGGGCAATTGATCCATCAGGATAAACTTTGACAACAAACACTCATTTCCAACCGATAGGTGTCTTTCCTGCAGGAAGAGACACTAAATCTCATATACCATTGTTATCTAAGGCAGTCATCTCTTCCAACATAGCAGCCCACCAACCAAGATGAGACAAAGCTTCATGTACAATTTTAGGAACAGATACAAACCCAAGGGATGCAAGAAACGAACATGTAGGCGAGGACAAATGGTTATATGAAACAAAAGAAGAAACAGGATAAGTACACTTACGCTTACCTTTTCGAAGAGCAAGGTCATCACTCGTTCCTGGATCCATGGACGAAGAAGCTACTGGTATAGGGTATGAGTTTGTAGGAGGTTGTCGGGGAGAAAAACATGAGTAATAGTTGGGAGAGAAGTATCAAGCACAGAGGGATATGTATTGCAATGAAGCACTTCAGTAGAAGTAAAGACAATGAAATAGACAAGAAAATCATCATCTTCCTGTGAACGCTCCCCTTGATTGGTACTCAAGGATGATGAAAAATGAGTATCTTCAAAGAACGTAACGTCAGGAGAGACAATATATCTATTGAGATCAAGATAACAATATCAATACCCTTTTTGAACACGAGAATAACCAAGGAAAATGCATTTCAATGGCTTGGGGTCCAATTTGGTGAGTTGAGGGCGAACATTTCAAACAAAACAAGTACAACCAAATATTTTAGGTTTAATAGGAAATAAAGGTTGATAAGGTATCTCACCCTTAAGAACTGATGAAGGCATGCGATTAATCAAGAAGCGAGTCGTCGAAACAGCATTGACCCAAATGTATTTTGGAACATGCATTTGAAACATTAAAGACCTTGCTGTTTCGAGAAGATGTCTATTTTTCCTTTCTGCAACTCCATTTTGAGACAGATTATCGACACAAGAGGATTGGTGAAGAATACCATATTCACTCAAATAGGAGCCAAGAGCACCAGAAAAATGTTCTTTAGCATTATCACTTCGTAGAACTTTAAGAGAGCCACCAAATTGAGTTCGAACTTCAGCATGAAAGTTACAAAAATGAGAAAGTAACTCAGAACGATCTTTCATTAAATATAACCAAATTACACGGAAAAAATCATAGACAAATGTAACAAAATACCGAAACTCAACTTTGGACTCAATAGGACAAGGACCCCAAACATTAGAATGAACTAATTCAAAAAGAGTAGTAGCTCGTTTATTGACTCTAGGATACGAACTGCGACGATGAAACTTAGCAAATTGACATGACTCACAATATGAAATTGAGGACAAAGACTCTTTAACACGGAAAGATGGATGACCCAAACGACAATGTTCTTCGAAAGGAGATGGTACTCGAGTGTGAATAGTAGCTGTAGGTATTTTTGTAACAAATGTGTAGAGACCATTGGATTCACGCCAATTACCAATAGTCTTCTTCGTCGTAAAATCCTGAAATAAGCAATAACCAGGGAAGAATAAGACAACAATTGAGATCATGAGTGAGTTAACTAACAGAGATCAAATTAAGAGAAAATTGTGGTAAATTTAAGACAGAGGTCAATGAAAGAGATTTGGAAAGATGAACTGTGTCAGAACCAAGAACAGGAGAAGTGGTGCCATCTGCTATGGTAACATCAGGCAAAGATGTAGATAAGGAGAAATAGCAAATAAGTTAAGGTTACCTGACATATGATTTGTCGCACTAGAGTCAACGACCCATTTTGACGCGGAGGAAATAAGATATTTACTGGTGTTACTTGACTCAGCGATGGCGGTAATCAGATTAGTTAATGACTCTTGATATTGTTGGAACTTAGCAAACTCTTTCGCAGGAATTATAACTAACTTGCTAGCATCATCAGGAGTAGATGCAACATGTGCAGACTGTGTTTTCTGATCTTTATTCAACAGCTTTCTACATTCTAGCTTTGTATGACTAGGCTTATGACAATAATTGCATATAATGATATCTCCTGAATTTGATTTTGGAGCATTAGAATTCCATCATTGAGCATTCGAAGTTGTGAAATTCCCTTGGTAGGTATTACCTCGGTATACATTTGTACTACGTCCAACCAAAGCACTGTTAGACTGAGATGATAGGACGGGTTGTGACTTCTCAACGCGAAGTACTTGAGTGTATGCCTCCTCTAAAGTTGGAATTTCCGAACCAGAGAGTAATTGGTTTTGGCTACATTAAATCTAGGTGGAATACCAAGAAGAAACCTTCTAGTTGTTCGCGTTGGGCAAGCCAAACTTTTGCATCACTACTATCTGGGAGTAATGCATTAAACTCTACATAAATCCTTTTGTGTTCCATGAAGTAATCTGTAAGCGATTGGTCACCAAACTCAGGTTGGTAGAAGCGCTTGCAGATTTCAAATATTCAACTAACATTTCCTTTTCTAGGATAAAGGAATTCTAAGTATTTAAGCAACTCTTTAACAGACTCACACTCGTTGATCATGCCAATAATGTCACCCTCGATCGAATTCTTGATCTGTAGAACCAGTCAAGCATCATCCCGCAACCAAGCTTTCTTGCTCTCATCCTTAGAAGGATCTTCAGTTATGTGATCGTCCATATCAATACTTCGCAAAAAAAGACGAACATTGATTTTCCATGAAGAATAGTTTGATCCATTAAACTCATGTTCTGTGATTTTTTATATCATTAGGATCATCTTAGATGTTACGATTAATTTCTTCTCAGCCATAACAAACAAACGAACTTATTTGAACAAAACGACAAAACCAGACCAAACCAACCGAACAGAACTAAACAAAACAGATGAACTAGACCGACTGAACCGGGTCACACGAACTGAACCGAAACCGCTTCAGGTGTTTTCTGAAACCAAAAACCTTAGCAGCCACACCTTCAATGGAAAACGATACCACGAATTAGTAAATCCCAACGACGAATCGGTGCGTCGGCGAACTTAGGGAAACAGCGAACAGCGGCGGCGGTTAATGATGGTGGTGGCGGTGGACAAGTGCGACGACGATGAAAACTGCAGTGGCGGACAAAGCGTAGTGACCTACGAACAAAGCAGCATCGGGGATGTTGGCGACGGTGGAAGCTTGTGACTGTGACGATGGTAGAAGGCGACGACCGCAGCGAGCTACGGTGGCGGCGGTAGCGGGCTGGGTACTAATGAACACTTGCAAGAAAGTGTTCTAAACTTCAAACCCTAATGGGCACAAAACTCTAATGGGCACAAAAGAACCCTAATGAGCACAAAACCCTAATGGGCACAAAAAAACCCTAAGATTCAGGAGGTTTTGGAGAACCTAGGACTCTAATATCATGTAAACATTAGAGTTTGAGAGAATCCAGTGTTATGTATTCTCATTATTCAAGTCTATATATATACGTACAAATATACAAGGTGAAATTGTTTTATATACAGTACTCTAAGAACTGGTTGATCAGTTTTTGCAAGTACAACAAATACTTGTGCTGTTTTATTACTATGAATCATGTGTCTTTACATCCGTTCCTTATTCTTGTAGATGTTGGTAACAAATGCTGGACAAGCTATCTTGAGCAAGAACTTGGTAATTTTCTTTCAGTTTTATTTGGGCACTCGCGTTCTTGGAAAATTATTGTGAATGCATAAAATTATATTGTTAGCTTAGTTCATTTGGTTGATATTGTGGGATAATAATCTCTTTCTCCTAGTACTTTTTATGGTCTTAATCAGTATTTTGAAAAGCATGCCTCCAGAAAAGGGCCTTCATTGAGATGCTCGTCATGGCCCTCAACTGTTTTTATAATTTTTTTACTCTTTTTATATACAAATTCGAAGTAAGTTCCATAAACTCTTATTTCTCTAAACGTATATTCATTTTATCTCTTGGTATGGTGTCGAGTGGTTAAGCAGGGGAATGCAATTCTTAGTTGGTTTTTCATTGACCCTTTTTACACTTTGACATAGTGTAAATATTGGCATCCACCAAGTTATTTCAACTTGTTGCTTCATCCAAGTCATGTATGCTGCAGGCAATCTTGCGATCCGATCTTCCGCTCTATATGGTACCATTTACCACCAGAGATCTTTTGTTCAAGAAACCAGAGGTTTGTGCTATATTACTAGGACATGTCACTATTTATTCGATTTCTACTGTCAATTTTGTGATGCATATTATTCGAAATTAGTTAAAACTTTAGGGTGGGACTTAATTTGGCCCACCAATTTGTTGTTTGTTAATTAGGATATATTTTTGTTGAATCAGCATGACTTTTAGTGTTATAAGAATCTTAATTTTACTAGTAAGATTGACAAGGACTTGGGTCTCTTGATCTGGTTTAGAAATCTCAAGTTTAAACCTTCCGGTGAGCATAATATGAAAAACTTTTGATGTCTCCCGAGTTCGGGTCAGGGTCGTAGGTGTGGGTCCGAATTATTAAAAAAAAAATCTTAATTTTACTAGAACACTTGTTACATATGTCTTTTCTTTTTACAACATTGTTTTTAGTTGTTAACCTATACATATAGCACCAACCCATAGAAAGAGAGGATGGGATGACCCTACTTATATGTAAGATTGAAATTTAAAGAAAAAAAAGTCCAAGTGGTCAAATATCTTGTTCGTGTTGAGATACTCATAAATGAATTAAATTTACCCAATCCATCGGCTTAAGCTTTTGGGTTGAGTGGCGGTTTATTCATCCTTAATATGGTATCAGAGTGGAGGTCCCATGTTCAAACCCCTACATTCTTAAACGCTTAAGCTTTTGGATTGAGTGGTGGTTTATTCATCCTTAATAGTCAAATATCTTGTTCCTCCTTTTTAAGTACGAAAATTGAGAAGATTTTCGAAGGTTGTCCCGGGTCTGGGAAGGAAATTGTTTCACTTTCTTTTGTGTCATATCTATGAAGTGGCTCTCTCATTGCTCATTTTTTTCCAAAGAAGCTTTAAAATTTTTATTTGGGTTTGTTTCGTTCCCAAGGATTCTCTTTCTGGAGTTATGGTTTAATCCCAATCATAGAAATTTTGGGCATAGCTTTGATGTAGGGGAGAGCGGTTTGTCTTAGCCAAGTTCATGGATTTCTCTTTCTTTGATCTTTCTATTATTTGGGGAGGCTTTATATACCTGGTTTTTCTTTTTCTTTTTCTTTTTTTCTCCCCTTTCAAATACTATTTATGCTTCTTGAGATTCAAATTGTTATTCTACCATTTCAAAACATAAACTAGACAAATGGAAGAGTCTTTGAACTTTTATTAACAAAGAAAAAAAAAAGACATAGAATCATCAAAGTCCAAATGCTTAGCAATAACCCTCTTAGTCAACCTATGTTCTATTTCCAACTTTTGTGCACATAAAGAAGATATAAGCCATGTTCTCTTTATTGAATGGAACTTGAATATTTCCTCTGAATTTCTTAATACGTGTACATATCTTTTTGCCTTGAAAATGTTTGAAATTTGATTGATTTTAGGAATATATTTGAGGAACAGACCGAATTTTTTTTAATGGTGCAGGACAATGGGGAGAAATTCACGAGCCTCATGACTGCTATTGGTGCATATGCAGAAGGATTCTCAGCTGATCCAATCATCAGAAGAGTACTCTACTTGTGGAAGAAGCTTGAAAAGAATTAGTAATTGATCTCAATTTGCTCATTTTGTTTGTCTACTCTTTGCAACTAAATTGTGTTTTGCTGTATAGTTTTTAGATATTAGTAGAGCTTAGAAACCACATTATTCAATACTATTATCACAGAAAATTTCAGCTTAAGAACTTATTGTTTTTTTAGTTGGAATTTGAACCTCTGATCTTTTGGTCGATGAGTAGATTCTTGCCTTCTCCATTTGGTGCAAATCGGATTTATCTGAACTCCAACAATTTCGATTGATTCTTAAGAAGATGGAGGTATTTTACAATACTGAAAGAAGGGTCTTTTAGTGCATATGAGTTAGTCATTTATGTATTTTATGATTTGTAAAAATAAATTTGCAATCACAAGACTGCATTTGACGCTCTTGCTAACAAATACGACTTAATAAGATCAAGGGTTAAAATATTTTTCGAGATGTCGATTATTCATAAATCAAAGAGTTTGACATTCAATCAATATTTTTGATATTCTGTATATGTATCCCTTCAACATAAAAGTATAATTTAGAGCTCGTTTGGTAATGGTCTCGTTTCCTGTTTCTCGTTTCTTGTTTAATGTTTCTTGTTTCTATTTTTTTTTTTAAATTAGAAACAGGAATATGTTTGGTAATTACTTTTATTTCTTGTTTCTTGAAAAAAAAATAGAAACAAAAATATGTTTGATAATTATTTCTTGTTTCTTGTTTCTATTTTTTTAACAACAACTTGTAGGGGTGGAATTCGAATCTACTACAATCTATTGACCGAGAATTTAGTTAGTTTTTATTTTTAGTTAAATAAAATTTAGAAAATATAATATAAAAAGATATAATATAGACTTGAAGAATAATATTTATTAAAGAAAATATAATTTAAAATATAAATTTATTTGATATAAACGTTATTAGCTTAAATAAAGAATAAAGTTTCAAAATATTTTTAATTTAAAAAATAGAAGTTTTTTTATTTAATAAAATATAATAACTTTTAATTAAGAATAAATTATCAAAATATGTTAAGTTCAAAAATATAATACAAAAATAAAAAACAAATTTATAGTTTATTAAAAAATATAATTTACCATATAAACTGAATAGAAGTATAAATTATTAGTTTAAATAAAAAATAAAATTTTTAAATATTTTTAATTTAAAAAATAGGAATTTTTTTGTTTAAGAAAAATACAATAGTTTTAAATCAAAATAAATTTTGAAAACACTTTAGGTTAAAAAAATATATAATATTATAAAGAATAAATTTTTTAAATAYTTTTAATATAAAAAATAGGAATTTTTTTGGGTTGCTTGCAAATATGGCAAAAAGATTACATAAACTTAATAAAATAGCACTCACATTCGCAATTTTTTACCCACTCACGGAGGCCCACATTGTTAAAAGTCCTAATTACCCTGCAAGCCCATTATTAACATGCAAAAGCCTAAAACTGGTAGCCCAAACCAAAAGAAAACTTCATTTTTCAAATTCCATCATTTTCGTCTGACGTCAATCCTTCACCACAACTTTTTCATTCAAAGCATCGAAACAAAACCTAACTTTTCAATTTTCACTCTGATTTCCATTCGATTTCCGTTCGATTTCCGTCAAGAAATTATCCCCAAATCATTTTCGTTCGTTCGATTCTCATCTAACCTTCGAGCTTCGGATTTCCAGCCCAAATATCATCTGATTTCCGTTTGATTTCCATCAAGAATGTCATCCCCAACTACCATTTTCGTTCGTTCGATTCTCATCCAACTAGCAAGGAGCGACAATGTTTACCAAATTTCAATCTCCGTCTGATTGCCGTTCGTTCGTTTGTTCTGATATCGTTCGATTTCCGTTTGATTTCTTTAAGTAGAGGTATATGTTTCCATTTCGATTTTTGCTGAACTCCTGACACACAATGCTTACATTTCGATTTTTGGGATAAGTAGAGATATATATGTTTGCTTCCATTTCGATTTCAATTTACTATAGCAGTGACTATATTGAATATATCAGTTATGATGGTTCATATAACAGTGACTATAGYAGTAACTACCTTAATTTTTGTTTAAACTTTATATTTTTTTAGTTTGGTTTTGTTTTTTCATTTGTTTATATGTTTTAGTGCAAGTTACACCTATATGGACAAGGAAGAAAGTAAAATGGTTCAAAAAAGAGAACGAGTAGTATTGAAGGGTGAATCTTCCAAGGCAAAGAAACAAAGGAAGAAAAAAGAAGAAAAGAGTGAGGTATGTGATATACTACTGATTTTAAGAATTTATGATATAATATTCCTTATGTGATTTTCTATACAATATA